TGTTATTCAGCGGCGCGTGTCGAGCCAGCTTTTCTTCAGCGGCGCGTATCGAGCAAGCTTTTCTTCAGCGGCGCGTATCGAGCGAGCTGTTATTCAGCGGCGCGTGTCGAGCAAGCTTTTCTTCAGCGGTGCGTATCGAGCGAGCTTTTCTTCAGCGGCGCGTATCGAGCCAGCTTTTCTTCAGCGGCGCGTATCGAGCGAGCTGTTCATCGCAATCCTGTACCTGTACGTTGCGTGCGACGCGGTGATAAGCAACCATGAACAAGTTACAGCTCGTCAACGAGCCGACACCAATCTTGCATGGTGTCATGTGCCTCTTATATGATGGCTGCAGTCTTTTCTGTGATACTGTATATAGATTTATTGCATGTGAATGGTTGTATTTGAAATATTAGTCAGTTTTCCCACCCTATAAACGCATTGTTTGGCCAGCTGCGAGACAGTGTAAAGCAAACGCACCTTTCTCTGCCATCCTGACTCGTCAGTGCGTTTCCATGATATTTTTTTCCGTAAATAAAGTGACAATTTTTCTAATCGCATTCTATTTAATAACTTTTTCTAATTCACTGTTTTGATTCACTTGTGATTCATACGATAGTCGTGTTCTGCTAGTCGTGCTCGTCGCATTAAAGTTTTGCACGCTACTTCCGGTTGGCGTGGAAATTTAGCTATATCCATGTAAATGTTTTTATGTTACTGTAGAAAATTTGCAGGTTTCACTTTGCTAAAACTATTCATTATTCGTTATTTAATGAATCATGCTTTTCGGAGGCCTATGATTAATGGTTTATCTAGTATTTGAAGAAGTTGCCAAATGAAAATTTCTTGTTGGGATCCGAGCCTATGTAGCTACTGAGAACAGTGATGGTCATCCCTCCTGCATAATTTGTGGCCAAATTATCGTCATTCCTGCTGAATTGCGATCAAATTACCGCCATCCCTGCTTAATCGCGATCAAAATATCGTCATTCCTGCTGAATTTCGATCGAATTGTCGTTATCCCTGCTAAATTGCTGCCGCGTTATCGTCATTTCTATTGAATTGCGGAACATTTCGAGGATTTTATCCAGTAATGTAACTTTACAAGATAGCACACTAAAGCATTGATATGCGCCCCGTAGCTCCCAAAGAAAACAACGCAGGATAATTTACATAGACGACCTAAGCTGAGCCAAGAGAAGCCCGAGGACTGTAAGCCGCGAGGGAGAAGCCTCACGATGTCGCAGCTCGGTTGGCATTCATAAAGAACGTTGGTATGTTTTAAATAACGTTATTATGTTTTTTATAACGTTATTATGTTTTAAAAAAGATTATGTTATGACGGTAACCTTGCTGTGGTCACCAACAGCATATCGCGGTGGCCTGCTTACGTACAAGCTGACGTCAATGTCTGTCTGAGCTAGAAGACCTTCTTCAGAGTCAAAGCTTCTCTTCTTCGGAAAGAAAATGATTCTTTTATTTATTTGAAACTATAGAGTTTCAACAGTTTTTCAAGTTTTCTAAAAACTTCCTTTTCAATTACACTTAGGCGTCGAATAATGATTCTGGATAAAAAAGACACGATCGCAGTTCTGAAATAAAAATCCATATATTCTAACGTTTCGGCTATCTACACTTTAGCCATCATCAGAGTAAATAAGATGATAATCTGGAAAGAATAGAAATTCAGATAAGAATACAGTA